ATTAAAATAATAAGATGAAATTACAAGTTTATCATGACTGACCTGTGTACAAGCTTCACACACAGCCGTGTCACAGTGAGCGCAGTAGTACTTGAGAGCGCTGCCCGAGTGGTTTGGACAAACGATGGTCGCCTCCTCAGCCCCCTGGCCAGTGTCGCCGCCACCCCTCTCACCACCGCCGCCGCCGTCACCGCTGCCCAGGGCCGTACCGCCGCGCCCCTCTCCTCCTCCCGTACCGCCGGGGAGGACGGGCGAGATAGAGAGCTGCTCTAGCGACACGATGTGGTGCTGCTGACCTCCTCCTCCTCGGCTCTCGCTGTTCTCAAGATTGTCGTCGTCGTCGTATTCATCCAAAGGTGGCTGATGGTGATGATGATGATGAGAATGATGGTGGTGGTGATGGTGGTTGGCGGTGGTGTTGTTGTCGTCAGTGTGGTGGTCCTCCATGGAGTCCCCGTTTACAGGGCGGTGGTTGTTGCCAGGGGCGACGCCGTTGTTGTTGGTGTGGTTGTTGCGGTTAGTGTTGCTGTCGTTGTTGTTAGCGGTGTCCATGGTGGTGTGGATAAGGCTGCAGGGATCACAGAGGAATTCTTCACAGTCCAGACACTTTGAAGTGGGCCGTGATGCTACTCCGCCTGGACGAAAAACAAACAAAAGAACGATACATGTCTCACGCTTCTATCGACATCATGTGTTTGCTTGTTTTTAGGTATGAAAAAAAAGAAGTACATCGACACAATAATAGTCATTTACTGCTGGGAAAAGTAAGACAGACAGACAACAGATGGGATAGTAATGAGATAAGACTTACCAGTGGCGCCCTCAAACCACCTGCATCGACATTGATTAGATCAGTTACAAAACGAAGAAAAGAAGAGTAAGATATTACATGAAGTTGTAGACGAATGAATTCGTTTACAGAAATGCTTTATTAGCTTTGGCATTGGTAAAAAGTTAAGGCCCACAACATTATTTTACAAACAGAGATCTTGGATCAGTTGTTGAGAATAGGAAAAAAAGAAAGAATTTAGTAATTTTCTGGAGAGAAGATAAAGTCATCGGTCATATAACTGCTATTTAGTACTGACAAAAAGAGAGACAGATAGACACATACAACAGACGGAGAGTAAAAAAAGGAAGGAAAAACACTGTTGCACCTTCTCCTTGTATGGTGCTGATCCAAGGATCTAATTAATCTTCCGAGCGGGATAAGGGGGCGGGGGGGAGG